ATATGAGGAAGACATGAAACTCTGACAATTCTGTAGTGAGGAAAAATATTCCTTGCAGTCTCCAACAGGTATATCCACGTATATCTTGAGAGCTAGTGCATAAGAACAAGCTATACCATGTGTGAGAGAGAAGAATTGGCTGGCTTGTTCAGTTCTCTTTGCCTCTCCATTTTCTTATAGGAAGTATTGGGTTTTAGTGGGTAATACTTTGTTTGGAATAACTTAAATTCTGTTGCAGTGATTTGTGGCCAGTTTCCCTCTTATCTGATTTGGCAACTTTCTACATACCTCATCATTTTGCTACTGCAGAACAAAGAATAAAAGAGTTTATGAATTTGTTTACAAATTAGTTGTCTCTCAGAGAATTGTTAAGTCTAGAACGTGGTCACTGGGCTCATGTCAAATTGGTTGGATCTGTTCAGAATGACAACTCCAGCTGTCATAATAAAAATGTGTGTATCACCTAGAATTTATGCTATTAAGACTGACAGTAAAGAATTCAATAGAGACTGTCAACATCTACAGTTTGTCCCTCAGAGGGAACAATCAACAGAGCAAACTCTACAGATGGTGGATGCAGCATAAGAAGAATATTTAAAGACATGTAGAACTTGAAGGGGGAGATGGAACAGTGAAGTGTTACATTCTTCTGTCACTAGATGGTACTGTGTGAAAAATACTCTATTTAAATGAATCTGCTCATACTTAGAAGGCATTAAATAATATAGTGATGAACATACCTTTTCGGTACAAGTGAACTTTTTAGATAGTCCACATCAAAAAGCGTACATCTCCCCTGCACACTTATTTTGGAATAAACTATTCCAGAAGAAAAACTCTGAAATAGTGAGTCTACACACCAAATGCTGATTGAATTAGTGCTAAGCTATTTTGAAATAGAACATCTCCACTCATTGGATGTTGAATCACATTTAAGGCCACCCAGAAGCACTTTGGGCAGAGCATCAGGATAGCACTCACTTCCTGGAGGTGCTGCCTGAGGCTATCTGAGGCTCAACTTAAAGGGACCCCCCTGTACAGCCATGTCTTAGGTTCTTCATCTTTTCCTACCTCCTCGAGGGATAGCAAAGCCTTTTCTGTGCCTGCAGTGGTTGCCCTTGCAGACACCTCAGCTCTCTAGCCATGGAGCTGGAGCTGCATCCCAACAGTTGGTGGCTCTTACAGGTTGTACTGTACCTCCTGCAGCACTTTCTGTGGGATGCCTTCCAGGCCCTGCAGGAACACACCCCCTAGCTCATTGTGGGGAAATTCCTCATCTCTCTGTAGACACTGCTCATGCAGTACGACCTCTCCTGGCCTTCTCTGTACATTGTGCACTGTCACTTCTGGAGGGTGGACACCAGTTCTGATTGGTGGGATGGCTTGTCATGGAGCAGTGGGATGACCCGCAGTGGCACCAGAATTTTTGGATGAGGAAGGACACTTTTCTGGAGCTCTGTGAGTGGCTCACCCCTGCCCTTAGGTGACAGGACACTTACATGAGACCCACCATCTCTCTCCAAAAGCGGGTCACCATAGCCCTGTGGAAGCTCACCATGCCAGACAGCTACTGAACCTTTGGGAACCAGTTCGCAGGGGCGGCCCGTGAGCCTAGGTGCGCTAGGCAGCTGCCTAGGGTGCCGCTGGCCCGGGCGCCCGATGATGACATCACGGGGCACTGGGGCACCCCGTGATGACGTCACAGCTGTTCAGGCAGGGGTGCCAATTGCGCCACCCCACCTAGAGTGCCAGCTACTGCAGCCAGACTCGGGCTGCTCCTGCCAGTTCGTCATGGGGAGATCGACCATCAGGGCCCTGTTCATGCAGGTATGGCTCTCTTGGGCTATTGTACTAATAAGGGGTTGGACTGCTGGAATGGGGTTCCCTAGGGAAAGGAGGTGGTGGTGGTGCATGCCCCCTCCCCAGGAGGTTTTTCAGTCCTGCCTTCACAAAGAGGATGGGGTAAGTGGACGGTTGTTCCTACTGTGGGGAGAGGGTGGTTTGGGTTCAGGGACCAACCGAGGGCTACAGGGTAAGCATGAGGTCCAGGCTTGTGACGGCATAGAGATGGTGCTGGCCTCGTCTGGCTCCTTCTCTTCCTCAGTGCCTGCACACCCCCGGGAGGGTGATGACTGGTGTCTCCAGACCTAAGTCTACTACGGGGGGGTGGGAAGAAAAGGACTGATCCACCCCCTAGGATATGGTGGAGCTCATTATAGTAGCGACAGGTCTGCGGTGTTGCCCCAGAGCAGGAGCTGTGCTTCCTGGCCGTGACATAGACCTGCCTCAGCTCCTTTACTTTCATCTGCACCTGCTCCAGGGTGCACATGTGTCCCTTGGTGTCCAGTCTGTTGGCCATCTGGCTGTAAACATCCACATTCATGTGTCTGGTGCAGAGATCCTGGAGATTTGCCTCCTTGCCCCAGACCTCATCCAGGATCCAGGATCTCCACATAACACCAGGAAGGTATGCATCTCTTCTGTACCGGAGCAGTGGAGGGTTAGGTGGGATTAGTGGGAGCAACAGACTGGCTCATTTTGCCCAAATCTGAGGCTGTGCCAGCTGCTGAGCGTCTCAAGGCTGTCAGGGCCTGCTGAATGCCACAAGCCCTTTCCCCTATGGCTGCAACTTTAAGGGCTCCAGGGGAAGGGAGCTACAGAGTTTTTATAAGTATGGACTGAACAGCCAACAGGGCACCTGATGGAAGGGCTGGAGGCCAATTATTTTGAAATAACCTTGGTCTACATATGCACTATTCCAAAATAGCTATTTTGGAAGAGGCATTATTCCTCATAAAATGAGAGTTACAGATTCCAGAATAAGCTGCCTGTTATTTCAAAATTATTTTGAAATAACGGGCTTGCCATGTACACACTCACAAAGTTATTCCAGAATAACATCTGTTATTCTGAAATAATGCTGTTGTATAGATATGTCCAAACACAAGAACATGACACCAACCATCCTTCAGTAACATCTAAACATTGCTGAGTCATCCGAGAGACAGGAACTGTGACCAGCTTGAGGGAGAAGTTTGAAAATACAGTGTTGGAAACCAAAGTGTACTTATGACTGCCCTGTTATCAGTGCTTGGACTGGTAAGAGTCCTGGGTTCCTGCATGCAGGTAAAGATCCAATAGATCCTTGTCCTCTGTGTATTCTATCTGTCCATTTCCTTGGTAAATCTCTTAACTGTAGATCTTCCCTTTCAGAGGAGAAAGTGTAGTGGGTTTGAAGACTCACTAGGGAAACTTATAGGAGCAGAGAGCAATATTAGATATTGTAGTTTACAAGTAATACTGAAAACTATGTGTGCATACAGTGGAGTAACAAGCGAGAAAATAAACAAAGCTTTTAAATATTTTTCTGCATGAGTAATTCAATTCCCTGGAGAAGCAGCAATCTTTTCTGCCTACAAGACATTGGGGAATAGCACAGTTACAACTTCCTGTAATTAAAAATTATAGCCTTGGGTGTCAGTATTCAAATGCCTGTCTCGGGAGTATAACCTTTCAAGGTAAATTGCATCATGATGTTTCTGCTATTTTGGTGATTATATGACATTAAAATGCTGCCATATTTGTATTTGACATGCCATGTGTTGGGTATTGGGCATTTCAGTTCCAAGCATAAATCTACAATTTTAATGACTACTTCATTGATAATGACTGAACTCCTATATTTAGCGCAAATAAATTAGCACATATTCAAATCAGAACACAATTTGATAATGAACCTATTTCCTATTTAAATAGAAATTTGGTAGGGAACACTGAAATTATCCTTAAAATTTTCAAGTGGATGTACAAGAAAACCAGTGAAATTCCAGTTACTCAATAAAATTGAAAAGTTTTCCTGTTTTCTTTTTGATACAGACAGGCTCTATATAGTGTTCAAGGATATTTTCCTATATTCAGTGGATGTTGGCATCATTTTAACTTCCTATAGATTGGCTAACTTTATTCCAACTTATTACTGTACTGTAGTGCTGTTTTTACAAATATTGCATAAGAAAAATAGTGATGAAATAATTGGTTGACTGATCAGAAAGTACACTTTTTGTTTATGCTGTGACTATATTGGGGGGTATCAGGAGCACTTTTTTTCTCTAAATCAGAATCTCATTACTACAGTATATTTCTTAATGCCTTTCCATGAATCATCTTGGAGAATGGGCTGCCTGTAGTACAACAAAGTTTGATGCTCATTAAAACTCTTACTGAGAAATATGGGTTAAGCCTAATTATTTTGCTTCAGGTTCACCTTATAATAAAATCTGTCCCAAGCATATTCATCTTTAAAATTTCAAATTCTGAAAAATCAGCCTAGTATCATTTTTATCCCTAATTAGAAGATGTTTGGGAGCTCAAAGGCTTCTTAGCTCAGATAACTGAAAATGTAAAGTGCCAAGCTAATAAACAATGTCTTTAAACATGAAAAGTTTAAAAACTAATACAGTAAGGAAAAACTGTAAAAGAATAAAATGTCATGAATACTGTATCATCATTCAAAAGCCTACTATCTTCCATTCTGATGTGAAGTATATTTGATAGTTATACATTTGAACAATAAACTGGAGCTCTTAATTAATCATCTTATACTTAGATTGTAAGTTATTTAGGGAGGGGACCATCTATTTATTATGTGTTTTACAGTAATGGAGACATGTTCCAAGAATGTGTCACCTAGGAATTTTGTAATACAGATACAATCATCATTTCATTTGTTGTTGCTCACTGCATCCTCCTCCTTGAATGGAGCAATGGCTACAGCAACACAGAGATTTAGGAATACAAAATTAATAAGAAATTCTATGCTAATGATGATCCATCACTCCAGAATCTTGTGTTCATCACAGGATACTTCAGAGCAAGGTTCTTAAAACCCTGCTTTACAAGTTACTGGGTAACTTGAGCATTGCTTAGGTCCTTAACTCAATTAACTTTTGTTTTTCTTCATTTAAATCATTAATCTGAGGTGGACTACACATGAGTTCAGTATGTAGGTTGCCCTAGGGAGAGAAGACTGCTCTAGCCCTCTCATGGCAGCAACTTGGAGCCAGGTGAGATGTACTTTTGCATGGCTATTGCAGTTCTAATGGGTACAGCTGAGAGAGGGGTATATGTCCCCTGCTGCGGGGAGGGAGGTGAGGGCGGCCAAGTCCAAGTTTGCCTGCCTCCTACACTCCCCAGATAGAGTGAGAAAGGCAGCAAAATGTGTACTTTCCCCTAACTCCATGATGGAGAACAGCCAACAATGTCCCCATACAAATCGGAGGGCATGAGCTTCACGCACACCTCCACTCTCCCTAAAGGACACCTGGGGGGTGGGAGATTTGGGGCAGGGGCAGTTCAGATGTGGAGAGGGGGTGGGGACACAACCCCAGCCAGGCTCTTAAACCTGCCTGGTGAATCTGTCTCTTTTCTGTATAGTTTTATGAGAAGCATTCCCATTCTAAACACATCCCATTTTCCTGGCACAACCAAACCCTGATCATGCTTTACATTATGATAAGAGAAAGCTACATATCAAATTTGGTGGTCCTCGCTCTTACCATTTAGGAGGAGTTTTTGAACAAGCAGACAACCATACAGACACACTCACAGTCAGACACACTCTCTAAACTATATAGTAGATCAGTTCAGATGAGTACAAATTACCCTAATAACGTTTCTCAGTCATATTATGTGAGATTATTGGAAACATGGTAGTGTTGAGAATATTTGCAGCTGCAAAATTTAGGCTTTATTTTACAGCATTTATTGTTAATTTTTTAAAATTAATTATGATAATGTAGATAAGTGGTATTACTTCTTTCACTTTTAAAACCTTCAAAGCCAAATCTAGAAAATTAGCCCGCTTTTGTTTCTGACATTGTAACCCCATTGCTTCAAGGATATTAGAGAATCAAGGTTGGTGAGATAAAAGCATTTATTGGACTAACTTCAGTTGGCAAAAGATATAAACATTGGCACTAACACAGAGCTTTTCAATTCTGAGAAAGTGTCACAAGTAAATACAGGATGGAACAGAATGCTTAGCTGAAGTAAGCAGTTAAAACTTCTGCAGTCATAGGATGAAGGAAGATCACCATTGTTGTGGTGATCCACAAATTCAGTGTCTTTGTTAAATCCATGATTTTAAGTGTCTAACAAATTTATGAATTTATGCTCCCCAGTGCATTATTTGAAGGTGTTGTGCAGGTTTCCTTTGAGGATGAGAACTGAGAGGTTATATATGGAGGGATCACTGTGTGACAAGTTTTTGTCTATGCATGATAAATCATCTTTTTTTTTCATTTTTCTGCAGAAAAAGTGTAGTGGTTGTCTTGCTTAACTTACACATTTATTAGGGATTTTAGTGCACTAGATGCCAAACACCATATATAGGACCCATAGATCTTGAAAAGTTTGTTGTGGATATTATTGATTATCATAGCAGAGGAGGCAATATGTCTAAAATTTTTTCATCTGTTGTTCTTGAAGGGTCTGGTGCCACTGAGTTGATCCTGATCTGTATGGGTACGTCTACACTGCATCCCTAGTTCAGACTAGGGATGCAAATGGAGACGACGGAAGTAGTTAATGAAGCGGAGATTTAAATATCCCGCGCTTCATTAACATGATCTCGCCGGCATGTTAGTTCGAATCACAGCTGATTCGAACTAGGAAGTGCGCGCCGGGATGCATTAGTTCGGACTAAAGCCCTTAGTCTGAACAAACGTTAGTCCTCAGTTTTGCTGATTAAGAAGGAAGTGGGGAGAAGTACGGGTGGCAAGGAGATATAGGAGAAGGAAGAACAAAAAATGACAGCTTAGAGCAAAAACATTAAAAAAAACACCCATACAAAATATACACATAGTGCCATGCATAGACTTATTGCCATGCATGACTGGTTCTGGGATCACAGGCATACTGTATCCTGAGTGGTATCTTTCCACTCACCACTGGGGTGGCCTGCTTTCCATTCTACAAAACTGAACACCTTTGCCCTGCCCCTCACTCACAGAATCATAGAGCTGGAAGAGACCTCAGAAGGTCAACAAGTTCAGCCCCCTGCTCTAGGCAGGACCAATCGCCAGGGCTTTGTCAAGCCGAGACTTAAATACCTCTAGGGATGGAGACTCCACTACTTCCCTACATAAACCATTCTAGTGCTTTACTACCCTCCTAGTATAATAGTTTTTCCTAATATCCAACCTGGACCGCTCCCACCACAACTTGAGACATTTGCTCCTTGTTCTGCCATTCGTCACTACTGAGAACAGCCTTTCTCCATCCTCTTTGGAACCTCCCTTCAGGAAGTTGAAGGCTGCTATCAAAACCCCCCTCACTCTTTGCTTCTGCAGACTAAACAGACCCAAGTCCCTCAGCCTCTCCTCGTAGGTCATATGCTCCAGCCCCCTAATCATTTTGGTTGCTCTCCGCTGGACCCTCTCCAATGCTTCCGCATCCTTTTTGTAGTGGGGGGCCCAGAACTGGACACAATACTCCAGATGTGGCCTCACCAAAGCCGAATAAAGGGGAAGAATGACATCTCTGGATCTGCTGGCAATGCTCCTCTTAATGCATCCTAATATGCCATTAGCCTTCTTGGCTACAAGGGCACACTGTTGACTCATATCTAGCTTCCCTGGATCATCCTTCTTCCCTTTTTTGAAGATGGGCACTACATTTGCCTTTTTCCAGTCATCTGGGATTTCTCCTGATCTCCACAACTTTTCAAAGATAATGGCCAAAACTCCTCAATGATATTTGCCAACTCCCTCACTCATATTCTACAAGTTGGCTCAGAGAGCTGGGGTTCAGAAGGGATTGAGGGCTCCGTTCAAGTGTGTGGGCTCTGAGGTGGGGTCAGTAATGAAGTGTTTGGGGTACAGAAGAATGCTGTGGGCTGGGACTTAGGGTATGTCTACATTACAGCGCTAATTCAAACTAACTTAGTTCGAATTAGTTAATTCGAACTAAGCTAATTCAAACTAACGGATCCAGACTAAAAAACTAGTTTGAATTAGCGTTTTGCTAATTCGAACTAGCATGTCCACATTAAGTGGACCCTGAACCGGGGTTAAGGATGGCGGGAAGCAGTGCCGGCATAGCATCAGATGAGGACTTAGAGCGTGGAGCTGCTGCCTCAGGCTAGCCGAGGGCTGTGCTTAAAGGGACCCGACCCCCACCCCGGACTGACAGTTCTCAGGGGTGCCCCGCTTGCAAAGCAGTCCTGGCGTGGAGTGCCCTGAGTGTTCACACTGGGCACATAACAGCACGCGGCCATCAGACCGGCTGCACTTGCCGCAGGCTGCCATCTGGGGAGAGAAGGCAATTGTGGGGCTGCAGGAGAGCTTCCACCCCCAGAAACCCACAGAGCCAGCCCAGTCTTCCCCATCGGGGGCGTGTACCCCATTCCTCCCTCACCTCCTTCCACTTACCCTTCCCTAGCCCCCCTTCTTGATGTACAAAATAAAGAAAACGTGTGGTCAAAAATAGAATATCTCTTTATTGAACAAAACTCGGGGAGACTGGGAAAAGGAGGTGGGAGAGGGGAAGAGAGAGGGTGGGAGAGGGGAGGGCAACTAAAATGATCAGATGTTTGGAAGAGGTCCCATATGAAGAGAGGCTAAAGAGACTGGGACTTTTCAGTTAAGAAAAGAGGAGACTGAGGGGGGATAGGATAGAGGTCTATAAAAGTATGAGTGGGGTGGAGAGGGTGCATACAGAAAAGTTCTTCATTAGTTCCCATAA